CTCAGGGGCCACAGAGTCACTGTTCTTACTGAGATTGAGCACATTTTCTCAAATGAATATTTTCCCGTTTGCTGTATGCCATTAGGACAATTTCCTGAGACTTGAAATTTTGTTTTCAAAAGAGTTTCACCAGTTCACATGCTGTTTTCCTGGGGAAAGGGTCCATTGTGTTCCTTACTTCTGTCCGCCTGTTATTAAGCTTATAATAACAGGTTTTGGATTGTCTTTCTCCAGAACCAAGGGGGTTCTCATTACCAAATGTGATTTCCTCAAGGACTAACAAAATTAATTATACTGTGTTTATTCTAATAAACATCAAAAGGTTTTTAACCAGTCTAAAATGCCGCATTATTTTCCTTCTAGACAGCAGGATATTTTGACTTTAAACTCATTATCCTCATTCTTTAAACTTGATGATCCAGACTGACTGCCCCCAGGCTCTATAAGGAAAGATTCTCTTTGGAGTAGATAGCATCATAACAGATCCCACCAATATACACATTGCACTTCAAAATTTACCAAATGCGCTGCCACATTATACCAGTGAGTCCTAGCTTTTCCCTTCACAGTCTGATGAACAGGAAGTGTCATTATCTGCCAGTTAAAAACAGGAAAATCAAGGTATGCATGGTAGCTGAACGAATTCATTCAGCTAGCACTTATTAAATGTCTACACCAGGAATGATAACATGCATACATTGTTTCTTTATTGCCTGTAAATGGGTTCTAACCTGGAGCCATTATTTCTGTCATTACAGTATTTTCAATTGATACATTTAAACTAGACTTCTTCCTTGAGCCTAATTATACAAAATAGCAGTTGCTTTGCAGAGAAACTTGTAGAAAATTATAAGTTTTAGTCTTGTGAAATAAATCTTTTGAAAGAAAGCCAGTGCATCTCTGAAGTAAAGCAATTAAATTAAGCCTTGGCCCCGGAGTAGAGAGGGAACAACTGTCTATATATGAAAGTGAGGCAGCACTCTAGGCAGTTTAGGGAAGAACGGATGCTCAAGAGGTCTTGGCTGTTCCTTTAATCTTCTTTGTACTTCTGACTCTATGGCTCGACACAAAAGTTTTCTTATTCTCAGCTCTGTTATTTGTTTTTTGCTTTCCTGACTGTATATGGAGAGTAATGACTTATCCTGCACATCAGGTTATGGAAGAAAAAATTAGTAAATTATTTGAAGCACTGTAGTAATGCCCATTGTTTGGCTGCTGTGGGTTAATGTGCTGGACTGCAAGCTTGAACCGCAAGGTCAGTAGTTGAAGCTCACCAGTTGCTCCTTGGAAACCCTACAGGTTGCTATGAGTAGGAACAGACTCGATGGCACTTAACAACAACAACAATAAGTAATGCTCATGACACTGATCTCTGCTCATTGTTGTTGTAGTTAGGTACCATTACGTTGATTCTGACTCGTAGCAATTGTTTGCACAACAGAATGAAATGCCCAGTCCTTTCCATTCCTTTGTTGTTATGTTTGAGTCCTTTAGTACTGCCACCGTGTCTGTCCATCTCACTGGGGGTCTTCCTCTTTTCTGCTGACCTTCTGCTTTACCACGTATGATGTCCTCCTCTAGGGATTGGTCTCTTCTGATGACATGTCCGAAGTATGAGAGATGAAATCTCAATACCCTTGCTTCCAAGAAGCATTCTGACTACACTTCTTCCAAGATGATTTGTTTGTTCTGTGGCAGTCCATGGAACTTTCTATGGTGTTCTCTGACACCATAACTCAAATGCATCCATTCTCCAGTCTTCCTTATTCTTTGTCCATAGTGCTGTCCTTTCTAAAATAGGATAGCTATGAATCTGTCTTAGCTCCTACCCAAAACTTTATTACAGGAAGTTCTTAAAGGACTTTCTTTACTTTGACTTAGAGCATGGGCCTAAAGCATGATTTCAGGGACAATCTGACTTGCTAAAACCTGCATGCTATAGGTATGTGGTGTGACGGGTATTCTTCTATTTCCCATTACCTTTCCTAATAGAGAAAATATAGAACTCATAAGCTAAATATTTTGAACTATTAGTTTCATACTCATCCTTCCAGATTTTTACATTTGTTTTCTGAAGGAACAACTAAGTTTGGGTAACCCTCACTCACTGTTTCTCCACACACAATAAAATCACCAAAATGTTTGAACAATAATATTATTAAGTGCCATCAAGTTGGTTTTGATTCATAGCAGCCCTGTATAGGATTTCCAAGGAGTGACTGGTAGATTTGAACCAGTGGCCTTTAAGTTAGCAGTTCAACGCTTATCCTAAAGCACCACACCAGGATTCCTTGAACTCTGCCTCTATTTTCTAGTTAAGACATGCATATGGTAAAATAGTAGACTCTACCCTGAAGCTCTTGATGCTAGAATGTTCTATTTTCCATTTCTCAGCAGCCAGTCAACTTTAAAACATGAAGAAAAAATCCAGAACATTTTCATAATGCATTCTGTGGAGAGTTTCCAAACATGAGTAAACAATAACAAGCCCCTTCATTGAGCTCAGGTACTGTACTTGGTACTTTAATGCATTATCTCATTCATTTCTGACAACAGCCCCACAAGGAAGGAGTCTTTAATTTCCATCTTATGGAGAGGAAACTGTGGCCTAGACAACGTAATCATATCCCAGGTCTCAAAACCAAAATGTACATTAAAATAGGCATTTTACATTACTCAAGTAGTACAGATTCTTTATAAAAATGGAGAAACCCTAAATTGTAGTGAACCCTCAATAAGCATACTTGCCTGTACGCATGTGTATGATTACACATACCCTCACACAAGCACATGATCACAGAGAAAAGTCTGGATGATACGTAGAGTTGAGCTGATATTGCTTAGCCTTGGAGAAAGACAGTGAGAAGGTACCAGAGATGGAAGTGATGATCAAAACATTCTTGAACTTTATCTCAACTGGATTTTCCTTTCTTTCTTTTTTTCTTGACAAGGAGAATGTTTTCATTTGCTAGTTGTATACAATTAAATTATTAATTAAAAAATCCTGAAAGGACTGAGGCTAGAAAGCCCCACATTTCAGATAAAGTGAATCTCTCTTCATTTGCCCTTTCCTAAGGAACCTTGGTGGCACAGTTGGTGGTCCAACCCCTCCACGTGCTCCACAGGAAGTAGATGAGGCTCTCTGCCCTCATGAAGGTGTATAGTCTCAGAGACCCTGAGGAGCAGGTTGCTTTCCTCCATCCTGATGGGTCACTGTGTTGCTGTTGTGGTTAAAGACTGTCTAGTCGATTCCGACTCATAGGGACCCTGTGTAGGGTTTCCAAGGAGCAGCTGGTGGGTTTGCACCCCCGACTTTGTGGTTCACAGTCCAGTGCTGATCCTGCAGTGCTGCACTAGAAGCTCACTGGGAGTCAGAATCCACTCAGTGGCAGCGTGTTTGGTTTCTGTTTTGCTTTAACCTTTTTCCTAGTGAGCTCCTCCTCACCATTGTCTCTACCCAAGAACGCTTACCTTCTCAAAGATAATGTGTGCAGAAGTTCACGTGTTCTAGTTATATCGATAATGAAATCTAGCTAGTGTGTCACAGTGGTTCACAGCACAGACTCCCTGGGTTTGAATTCTAGCTTCCTGGTGTGTCACTTACTTCTCTGTGCCTCAGTTTTCTCATTTATAAATTTGCAGTAATTATGGTACCTACCTTACAGGACTATTATCAGGCCTCAATAAATTCACAGTACTTAAAATGACACTTTGGAGTCCTGGTGTGGCACTGTGGGTTAATGTGCTAGACAACAAAGCCAGTTTGAACTTTAAGGTCTGTGGTTCAAGCTCACCAGCCGCTCCTTGGAAACCCTATACAGGGTCGCTATGGGTTGGAACTGACTCAACGGCACTTCACAACAACCACCACCACAACAACAACAGAATGACACTTACGGAGCCCTGGTGGTGTAGTGGATTATGAGCCAGGCTGCTAACCATGAGGTCAGCAGTTTGAATCTACCAGCCACTCTGGGAGAAAGATGAGGCTTTCTGTTCCTGTAAGATTTCCAGCCATGGAAACACTATAGAGGGTCACTATGAGTCGGAACTGACTGCACAGCACACAGGGACTACCACCACCAGAATAGCACTTGGCATATAGTAAGATCTATATAAGCATTGTTGCTGCTGTTGTTAAGTCCTGTCTACTCAGCTTTGATTCACAGTGACTCTGTATAGGGTTTCCAAGGAGCAGCTGGTGGATGTGAACTGCTGACCTTGTGGTTCACAGTCCAGTGCTGATCTACAGCACCACAATATAAGGGTAGCTCCTTGGAATCCCTATACAGGGTCGCTATGAGTCAGAACTGACTCAGTGGTACTTAACAGCTTTATTATTTACAGCCCTGGGGTGGCACTGTAGGATAAATGCAGAACTGCAAGATCGGTTTGAACCACAAAGTTGGTTGTTCAAATTCACCAGTTGCTCCTTGGAAACCCTATACAGGGTTGCTATGAGCCGGAACTGACTCAATATCACTAACAACAACATTACTGTTAGTGTCCTGGTGTGGTTCTATAGAATAAGCACTGAACTGCTAACCTCAAGGTTGGTGGTTCAAACCCACCAGCCATTGCTTGGCAACTGTACAGAGTTGCTATGAGTCAGAACCGACTCCATAGCACTTAACACCAACAACAGTCATAGCATGAATCCTCTTGACCAACTATAGGAACATATCCTAAGAAATTTCTTAGAGCTATACCAAGCATTTGAAGGTATGCTGATATAGCTTACTTAAGAGGTTTTGTAGACACTGATATATCCTACCCAAGTGTATTATTGTTTGTCTAATGTGTTTTAAACAAGTCTGATCAGTATTTTTAGAATGTTTTATCCATAGAGCCAATATGCAAGATAGAACACTTTTTTTTTTTTTTTTTTTAAGTATCATTATAGGAAAGACACTTTTCTTATAAAGAAGAAAAATGATCTGTAAAGAGGACATTGGTTACTAATAGAAGTATTTGTTCATTGTCTCTTTCTGGCATTTTAGAAGATGTTCCACAAAGCAGAAGAATTCCTACCCAAAGCAACAGACAGTCAGATGGATGAGATGGACACATCAGACACCCAGTGGGGCTGGTTTTACTTGGCAGAATGCGGGAAGTGGCACATGTTCCAGGTACCTCCTTGCTTTGATGTAAGCAGAATGGATGGAGAGTCACTTAGCATCACCTTGCTGTTGTATACAATGAATAGAGACAGGCCACTTGAAAAGCAGTCAAGCCTTGTGGAAATCAGATAGCTTTAGTAAAAGAGAAGTTAAAAACTCTAGTCTGTTTCCTTTTCTTACCTTACGTTTTCACAATCACATATTTTATTTAGAAGAAGCAGCATGTTTACTGTGCATACTGAGGGTAAATATGACTGAGAGTTGCATTGTATCCGTATACCTGAGCAACTCCAAATTTGATTGGATAGACAAAGTGAAAGGGAAGAGAACAAGCCCATATTAAATGCTTCCTGTACGCCAGGTGTTATGTTAGGTGCTGAAGGTACAGTTTCTCAATTCTAACAAAAACTCTCAGGCAGATGTCAAGGGCGGTGAAACTCAGAGAAGTCAATGTAATCTGTCCAGGGTCACACAGCTAGTTTGTGGGTAGGTTGAGATTTGAAACTCTACTCCAAGACTTGTGCTCTTTTTTTTAACTTACAAGGCTGCTTTCAAGAAAATTTGAGCCATTTAGGAAGGTGACTGTAAAAATTATAGTAATTTGGAAAAAGTAGCTAAAACCGCTTATTGACATTTCTAATCCTTAAACCATTTTTACTATTCTGGCTCAGCTGTGATTCTTGCTGTGTGTCAGGAACTGAAACAGATGAATAAGTTTCCCTGGTCCCTCCATTTTGTCTCTTTGACCACAGTACCACCTCTGTGGCTAAGCCATTAATAACGTGAACAACTGGTAAATGAAACTTTCTGGTTTGTCTTAAAGCCGGATACCAACATTCAGTGTTCAGTTAGCAGTGAAGATATCGAAAAAAGCTTCAAAACAAACCCTTGTGGCTCCATTTCTTTTACTACTTCCAAATTCAGCTACAAGATAGACTTTGCAGGTATGTTTTATTTCCCTAATAGTTGTGTGTTTTTAGTATATTGATATGGTAAAATCTGCAGCTCTTAGGACCAGGATAAGTTGATATGTTTGCCAACAGTGAAGTAAATCCTCTTTATAATGTACAGAATACTGCACTACAGATTCCAGATTTAAAATGTCCTTGAGTAGCATTGCCTGTTATCAAGGTTTATATGCTGTGACAGTGGTTGAAATGCTTGGTTGCCAACCAGAGGTCAGCCAGTCAAACCCGTCAGCCAGTCTGTGGGAGAAAGGTAGATATTAGCGGATATGGAGATTGTCTAGTTCGAGTTGATACAATACTTTGCTTCTAAGGAACACAGCACTTTCTAGCTTTTATTGTATTCATCATTCCGAAAGTCTTTTGAAGTAGGTATGAGCCTTTTTATTTTAAGGCTTAAACGGAGAGGTTAAGTGATAAAGTCATACAGGTAGTTGGTGATAGTTTCAAGACCAGAGTTCAGCTGAGTGTCCCTTCCTTTGGTACCTTTACCAGAAACCAATTTCTGTAAATGGGTATTACCTTCTGCCATCCTGATCTCTTTGCTTCTTCCACATATTAGTCAGCTAATCTGGAAGCTAGCCCTACTTAGATTTTCACCAGGATAAAAATAGTGGCGTGTTTTTAGGTAACCTGTGAAAATCTGTTGGAGTTAACCCTTTCTGTGTCAAGCTGCTAGCTTCAGCTCTTTGCTGCCAAGTGCTCAACAAGACATGGAGGGGGTGTCTTCCCAGTCAGAGTGCATTTTTGGTTGCTCCCCAGTTCAGTTGTGTAGCTTTTTGTTCTTTTCTCGCCTCTGTGAGTCACATCTTTATGGCAGAGTTAGTTGTGTGCTGTGGTTAGATAGGGGTGATATCTTAGGTGGTGCCTTTGGGTGAGTCAAGACGCAACAGTGGTAAAGGGGAATTGTCTAGTCAGAGGTTGATGCTACCAAATATCTAATGGTTTCTGTTGCTATGGCTGCTTTTACACTCAAGAGTTAAAATTATCAGATTCTTACTCCTGACTAACCATATCTGTTGTTGTTGTTTTTAAATGACATAAGGCAAATAAGCTGCTTTGTAGGGACCTTGACATTTGTCTTTCTGCTGCAGTCTAGGCAGAAGTGTCTGGTAGACATTCAAGTGCTATTTCTGGGCAGTACTGAAATGGAATGGTACTCATAGACAGCAGGTTTCATTTAGAGGATGGAGTTTGTCAAAGCATTTGGTAGATAATTCAGCAAGCCAGGTGTTCCTGAAAGAACATTTTCTAATCATCACATTTTTAGAAGCTTTCACTCAGATATCACTGCTGATCAGAAAATATCTTTCTCAGAGAAGAGGAGTTGCATGTAATAACTCAAATTCCCCAAACCTCTACATAATGATACTGTTTTAAGGATGTTGTTGTTGTTGGTAAATGCCACTGAGCTGGTTCTGACTCATAGCGATCCAGTATATAGGGTTTCCAAGGAGTCTGAACCACCCATCTGCAGTTCAAACCGACCTTGCAGTCCAATGCTTTTAAAGAATGTAGGTATTAGCATTTCACGTGTAGTATTTGCAAAGAAATTAGCCCCAACAGTTCTGCCGCTCGTCAACTTGGGGTCTCTATTTTAAGGATGGTTGAAAAATAAGCTTACAATGAGATGGTATAAGAAAAGGGATGATGATAGAAGCACAAGTTTGTGGCAATACTGAGATGATTTTGCCTTTCCCCTGCACAATGGTAATGCCAGTGTATGCAGATGTGGGGAGAATACAGAAAGGGAAGAACCCACCATGCACTTTTATACTAGCATCTCCCCAGGCAGTTGAAGCCCTTTGTTTTGGATTTTAATGATAATCACTTCGAGAAGATAGACTGGATAGAATCTCACATTAAGACTTAATCCGTACTTTTCTGATAACAAAGACATTTACCTAGTAAATATCCCCATAGTTGAGCCATGAAAGAACAAAATAATACCTCGAGTTAATGAGCTAATTTTTTTTTTTAATCACTAGAGTGAGTGTTTTCTATAAGTATTTACTGGGCTTTCTGTATTTTTGGTTTAGTGAATTTAAACAAAAGTCAAGCAGTGTATACATTTTTGAAATTCTGTGAGTTGTCTAAGTTTTATAATGACAGTGCATCTTTTTTCTTTTTTCGTAAATTAAGATTTTGTGAAGAGATCAGAGCACATCTGTCCACATAATAGACTAGCCCAAAAGATTCAGTACTATGCTTTTTGTCTGTTTGTTTTATCTTGCTGGCACTCTGAATGTTCCTAAGGTGGGAACTCTTGTTTTTGAGTGTCAATTTAACCTCTTAGAGTGATACAGAAATGAATAGACTCTGCATACTGAGCAGTGTATGAGCTTAGCATTGTTATGTGTGCATTTAGATCAAGCAGTGAAGCTGTCCCCCTTGAATAGCACTCTGGTGTGGTACCTAGATATCTGATAAGGTATCCTCCATGACTTCAGACTATGCTGTGGCTACAGATCTTCATGGCAGTTTATAGGCCAGCATGGTTCTCAGCCTTATCTAATGTCATTGTCTTTGTATACAGAAATGAAGCAAATGAATCTCACCACTGGAAAGCAGCGCTTAGTCAAAAGAGCCCCCTTTTCTATCAGCGCTTTCAGGTATTGTAGAGAGCAGGGGTAGAGAGGGTGGGATCTGGAGGGTATATGGTTTTCTTTTCCTCTCCTTTCTCTTATATGACAGAAAAAGACATAAGCTGAAAGTGTTTGGTAGGCTAGTTAATCATCTTAATGCCAATCTTTTAAATATTGAATCTCTCGTTTTTTGATGAACTAGGAGTTGTGATTTTTGTCAGAGCTCTTCTTTACTGTTATTTTTTCCCCCATTTTAGTATCATGACTGAAAAGTTATTCATTATATATTGGATGCTGTAGTATTGCTGTGGAAATGGGGGGAATATAATTTCCTTAACCAGTTTGAGTATAACCTCAGTCATCAGTACAAGAAACACAATAAAGGAATTCCTTATCTTCAGAGACTGTGTAGTCTGGGAGAAAACAATGAGACATCTGAATAGAGAATGTTACTGTAATTGTATGTTATTCTATCTGGTGTACATTGTGAGGGGAGAGCAGATGAGGGAGTTAAGCACTCAGTTCTTGCACCGATGGTACAGACCATAGAGCTAAGAATGAGGGATAATAAACAAGATAACAAAAGAGGAGGAGCCGTTAGGTAGAATTCTATGAAATGATGAAGGCCATTTCTTTGTTAAAGGAGTATACTGAGCAATTATTACAAGTATGGTAAATAAGATGTACCTCTTATTGACGAGGAGGTTTGTATTAGTTAGCTACATTAAATAGTAGAAACAAGTTTTACATAGTTAAAGGATACTTTGGTGGTGGTGGTTATGTTCCGTGGAGTCTGTTCCGACTTGTAGCGACCCTGCAGAGGGTTTCTGAGGCTGTAAATCTTTACAGGAGCAGAGAGCCTCAGTTTTCTCCCATGGGACAGCTGGGAGTTTCAAACTGCTGATTTTGAGGTTAGCAGCCTGGCTCATAACCACTATGCTACCAGAGCTCCTTAAATGATACTTTTGTTGTTGTTGTTTAGTGACGTTGAGTCGATTCTGACCCATAGCGACCCTGTATAGGGTTTCCGAGGAGCAGCTGGTGAACTTGTACCGCCAACCTTGCAGTTCAAACCGTTTTGCAGTCTGACGCATTAGCCCACGGTACCACACAGGTCCAGCAAAAATAAAACAAGACTAGTAAAAATGGTTTTAGTCACTATCACAGTCAAAGAACTGATCTCCTTTCTATGAGGGTGAGTCTAAAAGTATTTTACAAAATCATAGGAACCTTTATTAAACAAACAAATTAAAATGTGCAGCTATTGTTTTTGCCGTCTCCTCCATCTAGGTCTATACACTTCTGAAGGTGGTGTTTCCATCTCTCTAACCCTTCCCTGAAGAATTCTGCACTTGTGATTTAAACCACATTAAAATGGCAGTTTGGGCAGCCTCAAGGGACTGTTCCTTTTAAATGCTTTTTGAGTTTGGGGCACAAAAACAAGTCTGAAGGGGCCACATCAAGACTGTAGGGTAGATGGGTAAAGGTTTCCCAGAAAAATTCTCTTAGGACAACCTTTGTTACCCTTGAAGGACAAACAACTCTTCAGTCATATTGGGGAAGAAAATTCCTTAGCACAAATTCCTTGCTCTTTTTCTCACCAATACAGTTTTCTGTGTTCTTATCACTTCTTCAGAGTAAGCTCCCATGATTGTCCTGTGGCCTTCAAGAAAACCTATCAAGATTACTGTTTTGGTTGTCCAAAAACATCCTCCATAACCTTCTGAGCTAACCTTTCTGCCTTCACTTGAACTGGCCCAGCAGAGACCCTCAAAAGCTGCTGTTTTGATTGGACGTTTTGCTTGTTTGTTTGTTGTTTTAAAGCTCTCTAATGAGACAAGCGTGTTTCTAAGAGAACTGTCTGCAGCCATCCACTGATTGCATAGACACATTTAAACATGTTTTGTGTGGAATAAGCTTGTGCATATATGAACTGTTAAACTCAGAAGCAATACTTTTTGACTTACCTTTGTATATAAAGTACTCCTTGGAATCTATAAGCAAAAGATTAACAACCCATCAGAAACACATGACCTGTGCAAATTCTTTGCTGCTTATCCTGGTGCCACACCAGGACTCTCAATAACACCAATGTTGTGTGCAATTGAGTCGATTCGAACTCATAGCAACCCTATGTAGGGTTTCCAACAGCAGTTGATGGGTTTGCACTCCTGACCTTTCAGTTAGCTAGCAGTCCAGTGCTTATTCAACAGTGCCACACCACGACTCCAAATAACATCAATATGACTAGTTAAGTAAATTATAATATAATCATACAAAGAAATTCTACACATCTATGAATGAGAATGTACTCATTCATTCAAGTAGTAGTATTTATTGTCAGCTAGGTGCAGGAGCTCTGGTAGCGTAGTGGTTACGAATCGGGCTGCGAACCTTAAGGTCAGCGGTTTGAAACTACCAGCTGCTCCGCGGGAGAAAGATGAGGCTTTCTACTCCCGTAAAGATTTACACCCTTGGAAACCCTGTACAGGGTCGCTATGGGTCAGAACTGACTCGACGGCACTTAACAACAACAACAACAAGGTGCCAGGCTCTAGTGTGGGAACTAGAAATAAGGATACTCTTAATGTACTGATATGGAAGATCTCTAAAAAGATACTGAATGAAAAAAATCCAGGGCAAAAAGTATGTTTTCTGCTACCATTTGTGTGGAAAAAACAAAAGGCTTGTATTTATCTAAAGAAGTTCTAGAAAAACATCCAAGAGACTGAAAACAGTGATTTCCTAGGAATGGCAAGAGAGTGAGAAACAGACCTAGGTCCAGAATGAAAGGGTGAATTCTCAATGTATACTTTTTTATATGGATTTTATTAGCTTTCCAGATATTAAAGTAAGTTTGAAAAAAAGTAAGCTAAATTAAGGATAGGCTGGAAATGTATTAATTTCTTATATTACCATTAATTTCTTATATAATATTAATTTCTTATATTTCTTGGTTATATAAGAGAAAATTACTATGTCTGTTTTAGGTTTTATGGTTAAACCCCTAACATTACTATCTGTAATCAACTTCTATATGTCGTCTTTTGCTTTTCGAAGTTACATCTGTGAAAATGAGGCTATTCCCATGCCAGCCCACTGGGAGAACGTGAATACAGAAGTGCCCTATCAGGTAAGGGCAGCACTGATTAGGTTTGTACTCTGAAAAAGATTGGAAAGGATCCCAATGAAACTGTATGCACTTCTCTTTCCAGCTTATTCCTTTGCACAGTCAAACGCACGAATATAATGAAGTTGCTAGTCTCTTTGGGAAAACAATGGATCGCAACCGAATTAAAAGAATTCAGAGAATTCAAAACCTAGACTTGTGGGAGTTCTTTTGCAGGTGAGATCATTTCTAATCTGAACCCTGTTTTTGAAGACACTCAAGCACAAGTATCAATTGTATTCCTTTTTAGTGGTGCTCCAAGAACTGTTTAGATGTGCTGGGCCTTTCTCTTGCCGTATTTTAATCAGGTTTCTCAGCTCTCTTGTTCAGCATTCATTCCCTGGAAGAGGAAGAGAACTGCTCTGTCAGGAAAATGTGGCCGTCTCTGCCTGCATTATTATATTGCAGTGTAAGAGGTACAGATATGCCCAGCACTCCCAGAAGCCCTCGCTCCTTTCTAAGTTTGCTGTTAAGTGCTGGTCAGTCTGTTCCGACCCATAGCAACCCTGTATAGGGTTTCCAAGGAGCAGCCAGTGAGCTTGAACCACCAACCTTGCGGTTCAAACCAACTTTGCAGTCCAGTGCATTAGCCCAAGGCGCCACACAGGGACACCTTTGTTGTTTAGAACTTTGCATCTTGGCAGAAATTACCATTACAAGGGAATCCTGGGAGCTGGTTAATTTGTTTGCTATTACCTTGTTAACTCAGCCTTTTATGTTGAGTTAGAAGGTTCTGAAAACATTTTTTTTTTTTAACAATTTCACTACTTTGTTTATTTTCTTGTTTTGTTTCAAATGATACTTTTAAGATTTACCTTCTAATTTTCTGCTTAGCCCAGAGTTTACTTTGTGAGATTTAAAAACTCAATTCATCTCTCCTGTTAGGTTGGAAATGACCCATTAGATTGCTCAGTGCGCCCACAACCTAAAAATAAAGCCAATAACAGAAAACGGCAAGGAATTGCCTAATTCAGTCTGCTATGTTATATTTCTGTTTATAAGCTTTATTTAAAATAAATGGTTCTATGAAATATTCTTATTAATATTTTTGGGTAAGATTTGAACTCTAAATTGTTTTTAATATAGGCTTTGAATTTTTTTAGTTCAGAAAAAGTTTTAAATAGACATAAAGCTACAGTGTCTAGTGTATCTGGGTCAATAGCTGTCAAGGTTTACTACACATCCTATATCCCTTTTTAAGTGATTGTTGCTAAAATATTTTAAAGCAAATCCCACACCTTAGCTCATTTCATTCCCATGTACTTGAGAATACGGCTGACTTTTGCTCGGCAATGGTACATGAGATTCTTTCATTATCTGATAAGTCAGTTAATGTGGCCCAGGTACCTTCCAGATTTCAGTCTCACGTTAGTTTGGTAAATTAAAGGCTTTCAGATCGTGTCCTTTATAGTCTTGCATCTTTAGATCAAACCAGTCTCACAAAGACTGAGTTTAATTGAGTTAAGAAGAAGGTTTTATTCAGTTCCTGTTTAGATGATTCTCTTGTAGAGAAGGATAAAGATCTCTGTTTCTTTTATTTTATTCTGGCAGTGAATGAAGTATGTTTGTCTAAAATGATCTGATGAAAACTTGATTCGTTATTCTTAATGTGTCCTCTGAAATAGAGTTCAGATTAGTCTCCATCATAATTTGAATCCTCAATTAAATTCTAGTAGTAAAAATGTACCAGGAGTATAGCATATTATACTAATTTCATTGGAAGCTATTTCCATTTCATGTAATGTTGTTGACCTGTAGAACTCCGTGATGGTAAGTGGACCTGCCACCTGCTATGACAGGAGAAAATACTCTCATTGTAAAGGTGCTTAATTTAGTCTGCCTCATTGTCGTGTAACCTGTGGCTCACCAGATAAGCATGTGAGTCTACAGAGCACCAGTTTACTCACTGTCCAGGTCTTCCTTCTTTCCTCCCATCCCACAAATCCATTTTAGTGCCGACTTTGTGACAGGCACACTTGTGGATACTGGGGATATAAGTATATACAGGATCATAGCTTCGATAAAGAGTCAGGCCATTGTACCACAGTGATGTAAGGGCGAAACCAGGGGAGTACAAAGTGAAGGTGTCTGTCCACCCATGCAGACAAAAGTAGGTTGTGTGTGTTGTGGACTGGGGAGAGTCAAGGAGCACCTCCTAAAGCAGATGTTGTTTGGTAGGGAAGGGACAGGTTATCAGAATCTGCATGGGCCAAAGTTTGGATACAAAAGGGAACATGTGAAGGAGCTTCAAAAAGTTTCTGGAAAACATTTTGAGAGCCTTTCAAAGAGAGTAGATTAGGATGACTGGTGAGAGGAAGCTAGAAACATAGTCTAGGTAGAGCACGAAGGAGTTCATTGTGGAATCGTGTGGATTGTTCTCTTCTTCAGTAAGCTTGTTGTAACAGTGCCATCAAATCAGTACTGAGTCATAGCGACCCTACGCACAACAGAATGAAACACTGCCTGGACCTGCGCCTTGGTTGGGTTCAATGGACCCAGAGGTGAGGTCATAGAATTCTCAGGGGTCACACTCTGTGTGTGTGTGTGGGGCGGGGGGGGG